CAGGTTTATTTGCTTTTATTATAGTTATTAACACATAATAATTATACAAATTAATGGGATTCACTCTGATTTTTCAGACTTGCATACATCAGCATTAATCATATCAATGCCCTTTTCCTACCTTCTCTCCCATCTCTTTTGCCTTTTCCCCAACAACCTTCCCAGCCCCTAATAATCCCTCTCCTAAAAAGTCCAGATTTAAATTTGATTTGGGGCATATTTGGTTCCAAAAGTTTAAATAATATCATCAGGACCTGGTTTCTGTTTTTTCTTCTCATCTTAGCAAGAAGACTATGTGAAACTCCAGATTTATATGTTCACAGTTCTCAGTTGAGCACAAAGAATACTACTACTCCTTGGCAGTTAAGCAAAGGAATGGAAAATAATTCTAACTGAAATGATTTGCTCAGCTTGAGTCATGTGTTCATTCATGAAACAGTGATGGGTGGAGGTAAATACTTTATCTTCTGATCTATGTCACATGCCTACTTCTGAGCCCCACCCAAACCATGTTTGAGTAATAATAATGGAAGAAAAATTAAAAGAAAGTGTTCATAGAAGAGGAGATAGGCAAAATCAGAAAAATGTTCGATGTAGTATTATATTTACCAACTCAGTAACAGGAAAAACCAAAGAGGATAATTCTTTTTAAAAAATGAGAATCTAGATTAAGTCTAAGTGAACTAGGACTCTGCCCTATGCAAATAGATGCTTACTTTTAAAAAAGAATACTAAAAAATAATATTTTCAGTTTTCCACTAGGCATATATAATGTATGTCTTGATATTGCCATCCCTAATTTCTAGCTAACCAGTGCATGTAAGATCATTTTGGACTTCACTCTTGAATAAATTCTTGTAGTTCTATAGTTCTGTTCTTCTAGCTCTGTGATTTTGCTTTTTTATTTTCATTTTTTGGAGGCCTTGTGGGGGGAGTTAAATGTTAAATTTAAAGCATTTGTAGAACAACTTCTTTGGTTCTTCCACTGTGTTCAATGCATATTTCTATAAGTGCACTTAATATATTATCATTCGATGTTGAACCTCATCTGAGTCTTCACCGATGCTTGACCAGCATTTCTATATTTTAATGTGGTGTTAACTATCACAAAAATCTATTGAAATATTAAATTAGGTATCATATGTGTCCAGCACAAAATGCAAATTTTTTATTTAATTGAAGCTGTATCTGTAGTCTCAATCTCTAGTAAATTCTAGACTTGTAGTTCTAAATGTTTAATTTCAGTGTCTACTAGTGCTTTTAAGTTTAACTTACCAGAAATGTCCTCAAACCTCCCCCATTTCCTGAATTCCCTACATAACAATTAGCAGCACCATCATCTATCTAGTCACCAAGTTGAAAACCTGAAAACCACATGATTACCTTATTTCCTTATCTTCCACATCATTTGTCACCAAGCCTTGTCAAGTAATTTGCAAAATGATTCTCAAATTCTCTTATTCCTTATCTTAATTACATTAGCTATTGCTCTCTTTATCATCTCTTGCCTGGACTTTTTGTAATAGTCATCTATTGAATAGTCATCTATGAATTCATGTTCTATGATACCTCTAGAGTTACTTCACTAAAACATAAATTTGAATATCACTCTATAAAACCTGTGACATTTTATTTCTTATAGCATACATTCATTCCTGGTCTAAACATGTAGCCTCATCATTTACCACCCTCTACCCCCTGAAGTCCCTTTGTATAATATCCATAGAGTTACATAGCATTTTCTAAATAAATTATGTTATCTTCACATTTCTTTTCCTTCCTTCCTCATTTCCTTCCTTGCATTCACCAATCCATCTCCTCACCTTTCAGGTGAGCACCTACTCTGTAAGTACCAGATGTCCAGCCCAATACATCTTTGTACCCACATAGAATTTTTACTTACATTGATATATGTCTCTCACATTAAGCTATCAGATCCTGATGGTAACTTTCTAAGTTTAGTGAAGTGCTGAGGTAGGAGCTCAAATGCTGATTTTCAATCAAGGCACTGAAATACATGAAGTAAAGCAGTGAGTATAAGCCAAAATTGAAGAGCTTGGCAGGGCAAAATAGAAATTAAACAACTAGATGAGATAAACTAGATACTTTAAACTATCACTTAAAGTATTTTTAAATGATAATTATATTTACCTGTGTTTGAAGAAACCATGAGGAAGAAAAATATAATAAAAGGAGCAGGGGCTTGGGTGAAATGAAATGATTAGGTGAGCTAGCTTTGGAAATAAGCAGAAAGTTTGGATTATTTTCTACCTGGGATACACATATAAAATTTTGTATCTGTAAATAATGGAATTTGGAGCTGATAAAAAAAGCATAGCAGGACTTGATGGCTCTAATGTATGGCAGAGCAAAATATCCTTTTAGGGTCATAGAATCACATGTAGACCATCTTGCAAGACTTAGTTGTTAAATACTCAGGACTTTCATGAGCTGGTTGTTGAACCATTGGTAACTTGAAATATGCCATATGGGAATATTTACACTATAGAAATGGGTGAATGCTACAAAGCAGGGATTTTTTTTTTTTTTCAGTACTGGGGCTTGATCTCAGGGCCTTCATCTTGAGCCAGTTCACCAGCCCTATTTTTGTGAAGGGTTTTTCAAGATAGGGTCTTGCAAACTATTTGTCCAAGCTAGCTTTGAACCGCGATCCTCCTGATCTCTGCCTCCCAAATAGCTAAGATTGTAGGCCTGAGCCATCAATGCCCAGCAAGCAGGGATTTTTAAGATACTGTTTGTATTAGCATAGAATTATTGTACATGGAGGATACATTGTGACATTTACATATGTGCTTATATCTTAATTAGATTCACCCCCTCCATCATTCTCCCTCATCTCCCATCCCCCTTCTTAGAACACTTTCAACAGGTTTTCTTTATTCTGTTTTCATACATGAATACAAAATACATCCATCATAATCACCCTTCTTGACCTGTCCCCTGGAGGTCCTTTTGACAGGACCTGTTTTACCTTCCTGTCCTTTGTTTTTTTAAGTGTATATCAAGTCAGGGATTTTTCTTTCTCAAAGTTTACTGGATTTACTGGCACATTACTAATATGTCTTGGGTCTTCCACAAAGTCTGAGCCAGAACACTTTTTCAGATATAAGGGAGGTAGATGTTGGAAAATATAATTACATTTTGGAGCTCAAACTCATTCTGTGTTTCCTTCCAAGAAATCTCTGCTCTTAAACAGAAAACTTGGCTAAGGGGTAATCAAAGAGGTAGGAATTAACAAAGTAGGCTTAGGATAATGAATTTAAGACATTACAGAGAGAAATAAAATGCTGACAGTGGCATGGGAAGGCCAAAGGAAGTTTAGCAACAAATTAATAGAGATAATTGACTAAGTAAACATGAAGAGATTGTGATAGGAAAAGATTCTGGTAGGAATATAGAATAATCTTTGTGAGTGCCATGAGAAATAAAGTTGTTTCTGTACAAAGGATTCTAAATACTCAGAAATGGAAGAGAAGCAGTATATTATAAAGTAAAATAAGGCAATAAGCTGTGAATATAAAAAATCAAAAGGGTAGAGTGTATCCTAAACTTGCTTAAGGATGATGGTAGGCAATACAGAGTAGCAAAATGACATGAGCCAGGTCCTAAAGACATGGGGAGATGAAATTGGTCCTTGGAGCCAATAGTGGTGGTTTGGTGAGGACAGGTGCATATGTTTAAAATAATGTGAGGCAGAGGATGGATCATGAACTGAAAGGGGCCCAAGAAAGCAAAGTTGTGTTCATTCACTGAATTGGGTAAATTTTAAATGCTGTAAGAGATCTCAGGACTCACAGGGAAAGTAACCTCATTACTTACTGACTCTGGGCACTGTAGTAGTTGCCATATTCAGGGCTACACACCCATAGACAGGAAAAGTAAGGGCCTAAAGGACATGTGGTCTGAGCTAAAGGCAAATAAGAACAGCAGACAATGAAAAGAAAGGGTTTTCAAATAATAAAATATTAAGTAGTTCTAAAAAAGCATCAAGGAATTATTCATGGTGAAATAATAACTTTGTTATACTTCTTTATTCTTTCTGATTTTTTATATTGTAATATTTAATTATATTATCAGATTTTGGGGTGGAGGGACAGTTTAGAGTATAGACACCACAATATTCTTTACTACTCTAAACATCCTACTCTGACCCTAGCTGTCTAACTCCAGGTAGACAGTAATTTATTGGGTTTTTTTCCAGAATAGGGCAAAAAATATCTCATAGGTGTAGTGTCTTTATGCAGTGAGCTAGTGAGCTTGTGTGACAAAAGAAAATGTTTAGATTTAACTTTCCCAGTTAATATCCACACTCAAAGGCTGATTTTTAAATATAAATCTTATAATTTTACATTTCTTAAATTATCACACCAATGTAGTATTAATACCTTCTAATATATGTAAAAGAGCTTGTTTGAGAGCTTGATTTTAAAAGAAAAAGGGAATTGGTCACTCATATCTGATTCCACCAAACTAGAAGTAGTCTTTGAAGGCTTATATTAACAAATTTTTTACACATCTTACAGTATTTTCTTCTAATTAAATAGGGAAAGGGGAAAGAAAGGTCAGGTCAGGTCTATATGTTAAGTATTGACCCATACTGTGTGAATAGAGTAAGCCATCCTTTTAGAAAAATGCACATAGCTTAGAAGTCACATCTGTAAAGACTACTTATTTGAAATTTTCTTGGTTTTTAGCTGCCTATATATGTATATCAAGCAATATGTAAAATGGACATGAAACCAATCTAACTTGAAACTATCTAATTTCCTCTTGACTAAAATCTACACCTTTTTCTTGTAAGTCCAAGATGTTGTGGTTATTTAGTTTTCTAACACTTAAACAAATATAATTCCTTTATATTTTACTATCTTTTCTGATACATTTTAAAACTTGATAAAAAAAAGGTAATACATTCATTTAGGTCAGCCCCATGCTGCCACATGAATCAAAATATTTGTTTTGTCCTGTTCCTATTCTAGATACCATACTCCTCAGCATCTCCTGGGAATTATGTAGTAAGTACATTTGGGTTTGTTTGTTCATAAGAATTGATGTTACATTTTATTCAGGCAATGAAATAGTTGTCCAGATGTTAAGAAGAGCCCCTGTGTATTGGCCAAGAAGTAAACATCTTGAGTTGTTTCATCTGCCAACCTCAGGACATATGTTGACGTTCATTAGTGAAACAGTTATCAATCTGGCCAGAAATGCCCGAGTACTGTGTTTTACTTCAGCATATGTTTCTGGAAACCAGTACAGTATTCCATCCAATCATGAAGAGAGCCATCCCCAGTTACACAATAATATGCTTGAATTTGCACTTCTCCAGGAAAATAATGTACACCCCCTCCCTGCCCCCATTTGCCATGCATAAAGTCTAAGAAGACATTAGATTCCTCCCAATCATATAGTGGAACAAACGGCAGAATAATAACTAGTAATTTGGAAGGATTTTTTAGTTTTTTTGTCATTCTTAGAAATTAAGAACATGAATTTTTCTTATTTAATAATACACGTTAAATTTTCCTTATAACTCATGTAGACCTGAAGTCAAATTAACAGGTTTTATATGAACTGTTGAACTCACAAATAACCTTTTAATCATCATCACATTATGATCTTTGTTACATCTCAAGGCTATCATAAAGAATAATGTGTTACAATATTTAGGAGGAAATGCCTAACAGAGAAGCAAGGATAAAATGGTTAAAAAGGCTGAGGGGGGGTCTTTTTCCTAAAGTAATTTTTAGAGGTTGTGGCCAACTGGAGTGGCATAAAGAGAGGTGCACAAGAAGACAATTGATAAGCATTTTACTCCCCCTCCCATGGAAATACTATTTTATTAACATAGTGAAAAGACACACTGCTTTGGACCTGTGAACTTAGAACTCAGTGTTCCTATAAGCTATAAAAACCAAAAAGTCTTAAGTTTCTTCACATTTTGTATTAAACAAAAATTAAAGTAAGAAAATACAGGTAAAATTTATTTTTCTTAAAGTTACTTAATAAGCCTGATATGTAGTTTTATGAAATTATAAATTTTTATTTGAAAGAACATTTAGGTTTTTATTAAGTAACAACTGCATATATTATTTGAAATAATTGGTAGACTATATCCACCCATTCAGAACAAAGTTAAAATTTATCAACTTAAGAGGTAATTGAATCATTGAACATCTGAAAAATTCTAAAACTCATTACTTATATTAACCATTTTGGTTGTCTGAATTATAATTTTATAATTACCTATCTTTATTTCATTTTGATGGTGTAGTGCAGCCTTAGGAACCCACAGCATTAGTGAACATCATGTCTTATTTCTAATTGATGTGATAGCTAAATGTGTCATGCACCAGAAGTGTTGCTATTAATGCTGACAGAATAAAGAAATAGCATTAATGTATTTTTCAATATGATTCTCTAAGTGAATATCTTTTGGCCTCCTATAAAAACCAGTGACACAAAATGTAAGAAAATTATAGTAAGCTAAATCACAAGTACACGAGAATTATTTCTATTTTATGGATTCATAAAGGTGGTTTCTCCTTAACCGCATTATACCTGATATGATTAAGTCATGAATAATATATCGGTGTTATAGGTTCATTCTTTCTGAAAGCTTATCAAAACTATCTCAACATACTTAAGCTAAATTGTATTTTGCATACTATTGAAAGATTGTGCATTCAAAGAAAATAAATTATGGAGAAAACATATTTCCTCTGTTATTTTCAAGTTGGATTATTATAGAGATAAATATAACTATTTGTTTTTTCCTTATGTTGTTTAATGAAATGTTTTATTTATGCTGAAATTTTATATAATTATTTAGGGTCCTCCAGGAGGTGGGGGGCCACCAGGAACACCCATCATGCCTAGTCCCGCAGGTATTGTAATCAAACTAGCCACATGGGCATTCGATTATTAGAATAAAATCACAAAATACAGAAATTGCTGATGAAATCAAGTTAGTAGTATTCATTTTCTTATAATGGTTATAGAATTACCTTAGAGGTAGGCCAGTAGAAAGAAATACCTTTTAACCAATGCTTAAACATTTAGAAAAAGTCCTCTTGTGTGAATAGATTTAGCCAGCATGAAAACTGTGTTGATTTATATGAACTGCTCAGTAATTTACCTAATTTAAAAATTTCTTGAAACTGAAAAAAAGATCTATTTCTCACAACTTAGAAAAATTCTGCATAATTAAGATATAGATCCATCAGCTTTAAAATAACAAACCAGACTCCTCCCCATCTATCATCTTGTTGAGATGGATATAGATGTACTCACAGTATTATTTACTCTATGTATCTTTAGGAATTTATTAGTTAGCTACATTAGAAAAGGATTTTTTAATCTTCTAAACTAAATTATATAATACATCCATAATTATTTTCCATAATTATTTCAAATAGTTTTATTCTTTCTTCTTGGGACTTTAATATAGACTATTTAATATGTTTGGAGACTCTAATGATTGCAACTTAAATTGTTCTTAAAGCTTTAACTGGAGTTTAGAATTCTCCTAGGAAGTGCTCTGGTAACATGTATCATGAGCCATGAAAAAGTTCATAACATTTGACTGTATAATCCTAATACAAGAAATGGTTAGAGATACAATCCAAGATTTACATACAAGGATGTTCATTCACATCCTCAGTGGTGAAACAATTGACACAACCTTCATTCCTAATCCAATTTTAGTGAAACTCTTAAATTAATTTTTATGGCATATGATGGAATATACTTGAAATTTCATTAAAGTTATCAAAGAATTTTTAATGACATGGAAAAAAGAAGTGCTTGTGCTTTAATACAATATGGTCACATTTTTATTTTAATATATAACAGAAATTTTGAAAGTAGAAAATAGCAATAGATAAAAACTATCAGCGATTACTTCTAGGTAATGAAATAAATGAAAAATTTTTATAATTAGCAATGACTTAATTATGCTTCACTGTTAAATTCATATGTTCTTAACTAATTTGCTAAAATCTAGGATATATGGAAGCTTGAAATCAATTATTAATCATGCCAATAAATAATTTTTAAATTTTGAACCTTTTAATTTAAAAACTTGGCAATAAAAATTTAACTTACTCTTTTCAAATATCCATGAATATATCATGGTCTCTATCCTCAAAGCATTTTCATTGGAAATTCAGTACCATTTAGTAAAGATAGAACTACACATGAACAGGATCATCTTCTCTACATTGCGTTCTTATATTGTGAAGCTAATGTTTAATTTATGAAGATAATGTAATTAAGAAACACTTTACTCCAAAACTAAGAAAAAGTTTGTAGCAACACTAAACATTACAGGTGATAATCTTACCACTTCTTCAAGTCAGAAATTGCCATGGGTATATCTTCCTAGTACTTTGCATACTTTTTTATTTAGTCATCCTTTATCACACAGTCATTCCTGTAATATTAAGCCAACACCACCATGCTCTAACATACATGCCAAAGATCCATCTTATTGTAAAGCTTTTCTATAAATAAAAAGTCACACATTTCCTAGAAAATACCACTCTTACTCCTCTTAATGTTTCTTCTTTTTCTGATGAAATTATATTCTCTATTGGTCTTAAAATGATAAATTTATCTTGTTTCCACATATTTAAAATATACAGCTTACTTTTTCCTTTCAACAAGGGTAAGGCTAATACAATTGAAAAAAAATTGAAAGTTTCCTATGTTTAGAAAGCAATCCAAGATTTTCTGAAAGATAATTTTGTGAATGATAGAGTTTAACCCATTAGTTTAATCTAAGTTATCAGACATTTATTGTCTGAGGTACACAAGATAAGTAGGACATAATCCCTTTCCTTTTCATAATAAGCTAATTACACCCTAGCTCTAAGTAAAAGAGAAGATTAAGACAAAATATTTAACTGTAAAGCAAGGTAGAATTCATTAATTGGGGAGTGCTCGTGCATAGCTGGAAATATCAGGACAAATTTCATGAAAGAGGTAGCATTTGAAATGGGCCTTGAATGGTGAGGATCATTTTAGCAGGTGGGAACTGGGGAAAAGATGCTTGAAAAAAGAAAGAACAAAAGAGTGGAGATGGGAAAGGTTGGTCACAGGCAGGAAAGAAAAGGTAGCTTGGGTTGACAGGAACATAGCATAGGTAAGGATGTGAAAAGAGCTGAGGCCACAAGAGTTTGTGAAACCTAACTTAGTATAAACAAAAGAGATCAGCCTGAGGGGACATTCCAATTGTTTCAATAGTATGATGCTTTCATTTAGAAGTAAAAAATAATACTGAGACTTATAGATCACTGTTGGCAAACACACAATAAATGATGTCATACCTATTCTGTAAGTGGTGCACATAAATTCATAAAATTGTTAATGTTTAACAAGTAATCACACAACAGGAACAAAGCAATTGCCCACTTCCCACTTTATGTTCACTGCCATGAGATAGCAAATTATTTTTACCCTCTGTCTTGAATCACTATAAAACACATCTTTTTAAACATTTCTAATTACATTTAAGAAAGCTATATAATTATAAAAAAATAGAAAACTGTATTTCATAGTCAGTATTTCCTGAATTTAAGATAATTAGCCTTTCACTTTAGGTTTTATATCATAAAAGCTTATACTCAGAAATTAGCTAATAGGTATGAAATACAACTTTAAAAAAATACTACAAAGTGTTACATTTATACAAATATGTACTCCACTGATTTTTATTTTACCAAATCAAGAATAAAATGAGTAGAAAAAATTTATCAAAAAATTTTGCTTGGAGGAATCTGGCTTTTACTTCAAATAAGAGAATTTTTCATTACAGTTGTATAGTCCTGTTCTAACCTCTATTTGGGAAATAAACCAGATATTCTACCAGCTTTTACTAATTATTAACTAAAAAAAAACCCTGTATTTTAAGTTTTTGTATAAGAAACCCAAGGAAATAATGAAAACTGAAAAGCTGCTGAATCTGAATTGTAAGAGATTCTTGTTGCATACATACAAGGCATTGCTCAGAGAAGTTAAAAAGTATCAACATTTGTAAGAATGAAAAAACTTTAATTTTTTTTAGATATTTATAGCAATGTTTCTTTGACTTGAACTACTGAAGTGATTATTCCTCTTATCAAACACCTAACTTACAGTCTCAGAAAGATAATTTTGGGGGTCAGGAAATGACTGCCAGTTATTTATTTTCAAACATTAGTAATGACTATCTCAGATATTGCAGCTATCATTATCTATGTATGTTCAGATAATCTTTGATTATGTTATGTGATAACTTGGGTATAGACTCTTAAAAAAATATTAATTAAATAATACTTTGTTTCAGATTCAACCAACTCTGGAGACAACATGTATACTTTAATGAATGCAGTACCTCCTGGACCGAACAGACCTAATGTAAATATGATTTTCAAATGTACTTGAAGACTTTCAAATTCTAAGTATATTCTATTTCCTAGATATTGTTTAAACTTTTATATTTTATTATCCAGCAGCTTATTGGATATCAAAAAAATTCTTTCTATACTGTTGGTTAAAAAGAACATGATATATGACATGCATAATAAATTTTATATCAATATAATTTAAAAATAAAACTGAACTTAATTATGAAATGCTAGTCTCTCATTTTATGTCAGATGCTTAACAATTAATATTGGCTATTTGAGAATGGCAGGCTATATGTCATCGTTTATGTTGAGCTCATTTTTAGCACTACTAAATTTTCTTCATTGCAGTTTTTTAATCCTGATAAACTGGATAGTAAATTAGGAAGTTGAATGTACTTATTTTCTCTTAAATTACAAAATCTGGGGTTTAAATATAGAACTGAGATAGTTCTACATGAGAGTTGGGGTGTTATTAATAAAATATTGGTTGTGATTTTCCACAAAAGCTCATAGGAAAATGCTTAATTTGCCAATGATGTGAATCCTTGCATTTTAACAAAAATATTACAGTATAGTTCTAAATTAAATATAACTATAACATAGTTATAATCTAAATAAATATATAAATGTATGTAACATTATGCTAATTACATACATTCGTACATAAGATAGCTGAAGTTGAAAAACATAGGAAGATGTATTTCTTACGTGTTAAATTAACCAAACATCTATACCTAGTCTTAGTGTCTTTTAAAACACTAAATGTCTTTTAAAACACTAAGGGGGCCAAATAAAAGGGCCAAACCAAGCAAATTCATAGGCTTTGGGTTTACTAGCTCGTTTCTTCACCCAGGTCAAAACCATGCTTTTGATAAAAGCTGAATATCAAGTTCAAATTCAATCTCTTTGACTTATCAGTGAGGCATATATATTCTAAGTTATTTACTAAAAACCAATCCATGTGCTTTAGATACTTAATTTTAGGCTGTCATTCTCCTGGGAAAATGTATAAGCATGTGTTCTGTATGCTAACAGTTGTGGAAGGCCACCATATTTCCAGAAAGGCAGTGGTAAACAGGCTTGTCTGCTGAATGCAATTTTTTATCCCCGCCTATTGAGTTCCATTTTAATCTATTCTGGTCCCCCAAAAGCCTCTATGATTGGTAACCACCACCACCCAAACACACAAACCAAATAAATTCATAAGCACCACACACCAATTCACACCACCACACAGTCAAACACATACACACACACATACACACACTATATTCTGCACCATACATCATGGAAGGAATGCTTCAGGCATGGGAACTTTTAGGATAAAACATTTTTAGTAGGCGTCTTAACTCTAAATGTAAGACAATGATAGATAATCTGGGCTCCAATTTCCTCAGAAATATTCTAAGGAGATGAGGGAAGGATAGAGTAGTCAGGCCATGGATTTTTCATCACCAACTCTGTCATATCTATTCACAACTGTTTTGTACCAGGCTTCTCATATAAGATCTTACTGGAAAAGAAAATTCCACTGCTTTAAAAAATGTGAACTAGAACTGCTATAGAAAGTCTGAATGCCATTGAGCTGACATAGTTGAGGCTGCCAAGAATTAACTATACTCAGATATCCCTAAGGAACTAAATGTATTTAACCTGTAATATGAAATTATTTATTATGTCCATATGAACAAAGATAAATTATCTGCTAAGAAAATGTTAATGTTAGCATAAGGATGTTGAATTACTTTTCTTAATAAGATGGAACCTTCAGCAACTTCTTAAGAAGTACTTTTGCTTTAGAATAATAATAAAAACCTCGGCAGGACTGTAGGAGAGAATGCATGGTGGAACTGTATGTACTTTCTAGTTGGATATATCTGAAAAAGAAAAATTTCAACAGGAATGAGGATAAGCCTACACATCCAGAACATAGAGAAGATGAGATGAGAGAGGTGGAGCAGTCCAATTAGAAAATTCACAAAGCCGAAAGCAGTCAAGTAAAAGCTCTCTAAACTTGCAAATAAGTTTGGCTGTGTCTTGTAATGTTAAACATAGATATTATAACATTGAGATAAAATTGTTTTCAATATGATCACAATTATTTTCTTATTTTAAAAATAGTTTCCAATGGGTCCTGGGTCAGATGGTCCCATGGGTGGATTAGGAGGAATGGAGTCACATCACATGAATGGCTCTTTAGGTAAGGATTTTAAATTTGATGTATAGAATAAATTCAAATTTACACAGTAAATTTTACATAGTGAATATTATGGTTTGCAGAGTCTTCCATATCTCTCCACTTGTTTTGAGGTACTTCAGCTTTTATCTCAGAATGATAATTTAATCTACAGTACATTTGTTATAGAACTGGAGATCATTTGAAAATCAGAAATGTGAGAGTTCTATCCTAGCACAGGTATTCACTTTAACCTATCAAAATCTAAGTGTTCTGTGGTAAAAGGAGGCATTGCTGCATTGAGCATATGTCATGCCTGCCTCACCTGGAGGACTTCAGTGTCCTCCTAGATAGTTTCTTTGTCTCCAGAGTTCTGTGGACATGGTCTCAGAGAAACTTCCATTCTCTGCAAGGATTTCTTAATTTTATTTTTTAATGTTTATCTCCTTTTTAAGATAAAATTAATAATCATGTTCTAGAAAACCTGAATAATTCCCTTATGAGGCAGCACTTTTTATATTGTCTCAAGACATCTGTTTTCAAGTATGTGACTATTAGTTGAAAATGTACTTCACACATGATATCTGCTTACCATTGAAGTCAAAGGTGAATAAAAGTTTTACAGTGGTGAGAAAGAGAGACAAGTGGTACAAAATGGACCAGGTCTCATAGCACACTATATTTATAGGCAAGAGGAATGCACAATCAAAAGAAGGAGGAATCATATTTGTACATGTTTAAGCAACATTATCATTTCCTAATTTAAAAATTGACGATGAGAGTGGGAGGTTGTGATAATTTTTTTTCTTTAGGAAAGGATCTTTCACTCAAGTTGAACCAACTGTGCCTATGAGCAATTTAGGCTATATAAAGATTTCACTCCAAAATCAGGAAATGCTTCCCCCTGGAAATCTAAGTAACTTCAATGACCCAGAAATTATTTGCAGGGAATTGATAGATTTTTGTGTTTTTAAGGGTCTATACTTATTTCATCTACATTTTCCAAATCTTGATTTGTTACTGTTTTGTTTTTACCTCTTCTTCCTCTCCTCCCCTTCCCTTTTTCAAACAATATTTAGTGGGTACACTTTCTAACTATAGTAACCACTAGTTATGTGTAAGTATTTCAAATTAAATAAAATTTAAGATTCAATTCTTTAGTTGCATTGTCACTATCAGTTGCATAACAGGCACATGTATGTAGCAAATGGCTACCGTAATGGACATCACTGTGGAGCATTTCCACCATCACTCAAAGTCTTGTTGGATAGCACTATAGAATTTTATTTTCCACCTTATTACAAAACAATTCACTTTTAAATCTTTTAATTTATAGTATTAGTCACAAAAAGATGATGTTTGGTTATAGTTGAAAGCTCTCTGACAAATTATTCACTAGAATAGAATTTTCAGAAGAGTCACATATGTTTGGCAACTAGCTCATTACTTTCTATAATGAACATCACTATACCTGTTATATATGTGTACATATACATATATATACATAAACACAGTTTTGCATATATGCATTCAATATGTAACAATTTGTTTTGCCTGTTTATTTACAAATTAATAATGTTAAGCCCTAACTTTATCTGTGATGTGATGCACTATTAAGATGTTATATCTTTATGCTAGGAAAGTTAATTGTTGAAAATAAGATATAGTTTAAAACGAAACTAACATTATGGCAAAGATCTGATTATTATTGCTATTTAATTATGATTCTACTTTTTGTGTAAGAAAAAAGTTAATATTGATTGGTCATTTCTTCCAAGAATCAAAATTAAAATATAACATTATATTTTGAAGACATATTTTAGTTTTGATTATGTATATTGGTTGCTATCAATTTTTTAATATTACATATTTTGCTTTTGGTTACTACAGTAAAATATGGTTCAGAATGTTATCAAATATTTTTACCAGATGTGTAATATTCTCAGAAAAAAATTAGAAATCTATATATGTTAATATATACATTTTAAAATATTATAGAATATGATATATTAATTATTTCTGTAATATTTTCTTTAAGGAGTCTATGCTAACAATGGTTTTCTTCATTCTGCCATTAAAAAAATAGATTGGGAACTAGAGGTAGAATCCCTTTCCTTTGCTATCAGTTGTTGGTGATTCACCTTACAATAGTATTTAATTTATAAATGCTACCTTACCTATTAAGGGTTTTCTTTTCATATTTTGTTTTAGGCTCAGGAGATATGGACAGTATTTCCAAGGTGAGTACTATGTATACTCTGTGCTGTTTTTTAATCTGCATTTTATTCCACATGGAAAACTCACTGAGATTATTGAGTAATTTTATGAATTTTGTTCTTAAACAATGGTTTGAAAGTAGAAGTTCAGGTATATTAGTGAATACAATCTGTGGAAATGAGTAAAATGGATCTTTTAGGAATGTTCCAAGCAAGCTAAGATTCATATGCAGAACATATTATACATGATATTATACATGCTAATTGATACTCAGGTTAATAACCATTATGATATTACAAATTTATAAACTAAACTTACAGTTTAGAGAGGCTTTTCAAAATGTAAAGTTGTCTAAAGCAATGTAAGGATAGGTAAATTTGAAAAAGTATGGTTATAGATGCTATAAGGACTTTCATTTACCCATTCAATTAGTCTTTCAAACCTTCATTAGACATTGTTGATCTATGTATTCATTATGCTAGTCTTCAAATAGAGGAAAACAGCAGTTAGAGGAAAATTATATTAATAGAGGTATAAAATATATCTGTCTGCATTTTTCTTCCTTCAAAACTTTGAGAATCTAAAATTAATCATTTGGTAAAATGCCTTACAATTTTTGAGGACTAATATCTAAATACCTTTTAGGTCATGATAAATTTAAAATAGCTCTCTGAGAGTCAAATATATCTAGAATGCTTGATAAGAACTAATTATTAGCTAGCACTAGAATGACTCTCTTAGAAGTCTGCTTTGTATCAGTAAATAGAAATTCATTAAAGGATGACTTTGCCTTTAATTTTATTACTAATTTATATTCATGATAATAATATAAAATTCCTGATGCCAAGGAAAAGAAAATAAGATTGACTGAGCTACAAAAGATTTTAAATTAGGACTTCAAGCTAAAAGAAAAAGGATTAAATTATATTTTAATATTTTGAAGTAATTAAATTGTATACAGTATGCCTATATTGTCTGACAGCTTGGCCTCACAAATTCTGTAGGCACTTTAAATGAGTGTGTTTAGGAACAGTCAGAAAACACTATGTTCTAAAATTAAATATTTATAATGAGTATTAGCTTACCTCTGTGAGAAATAGTATCCATAAACCTATTTTCAAAGTGAGGATCCATGTATAAATTTATAGAAGCTTTCTGTCTGGGAGACTCATTTGCAAGTGAGATGACTGACTGTGTTGGCCATCTCAGCTAATTTCTAAGGATTGATCTAGCTGAATTGTGCCTTGTGGTCAACAGTGAAATTTCTAATACCATATGAGAAGCATATTCTTGAATTTAGAAATGATTTTTAATAATATAAAAGTGGGATAATCTAAATTTCTGTAGAACATCTTCCTAAAATGTCCGCTGACAACCCAAATCTTTTACATTAGATAGATAGAAACAAAATTCTTTCTGGAAAGTACTTTGTAATTTATAAAGAACTTTAAAAATTTTAAATATAGCCATAATGATAAATTAAGTGCAATCTTTTATCTACTCTCATGTCACATAGATTGCTATTCCTTCTGAGCTTATTTTTCCATTCCCATTCCTGGATTCAAGGTTTTTCCACCATAATGTGTGTTGGTGGTAAACATTCTCTTGCCTGATGATGAATTGTGTATTCTCTAAGAATTAACTGGACACCTATTATGTACTGGGGAAGATATAAGAGAGTTCTTTATATGCAAACATAATCGCTGTCCTCAAGTGGTTTCTACTTACATACACAGGAGTTCCTTCATTCAGTAAGTAGTAATGCATCAATGCATTATGCTAGGCTCTAATTATCCAAAGATTTAAAAAAAAATACACACTTCCCTAAAGAAGTTCAATGTAACTGAGGAACCCAGCCAATAGGATAAGGAAAGACCTTCATAAAGCAAAGTTCATACAGATTTAAATTAATATTGTAATTTTCCTCCAAGTAATAAACATGGTACCAGAAATGACTAGTTGCTTCTACCTTCAAGTGAGTTTCTAAGCAGCTTATTTCTATACTGTCCTCACTCTCGGTTCTTTGGCTCTGGGCTCTAACCCACCTCTAATGGGTGATGATAGCGCTGGTATCTGTGGCACTAGAATCACTTCCTCTTAGCAGTAGCATCATTTGTAGACTCCTCACTCATAGTCCTCTTTTTTTTTCAGTCTTTTACTGTGAGTACACATAGTCACCAACTTTGCTTTTCTCATCTCTCTTCGTTTTCCAACACATGTCCAACTATCTGAAGAAGCTTATCTTCTCCCTTTTCTCTTTTTTCCTGATCTCATTCATTTCCACCCCATTATTGTTAGTCATTATTGTTTGTGATTCAAAAGACAATCTTGACCATTACTGCTTAGTAATTTTGTTCAAAATCTCTCTTAGATCTCAAGGTACATCTTCCTAATTTCAACAGTTAAATCTGTATTTTGTCAAGTACCAGTATTACATATTTTTTAAAATTCTATTGTTTATGTAAGATTTTTAAAAATTACTAAATTAATAATCAAAAAGACTGTTCCTACTACTTTCAAATGGTGGGAATGTAGTACTTAAATTCTCATACGCCTAGTTTCCTTAGCTATAAAATAAGAGCTTATACTTCAATCCCTGGCTATTTCATAAAATTGTTCAGAATCAAGTGTGAGCATATACTAAGGGCTATGAAGGGCTATATAGTCACTAAATATCTTCTTTCTTTCTTTTTTTAAATTCACTTATTCATATGTGAATACATTGTTTGGGCCATTTCTCCCTCCTACCCCCTACCCCCCACACTTCCAGGCAGAATCTATTCTGCCCTTATCTCTAATTTTGTTGAAGAGAAAGTATAAGCAATAATAAGAAAGACAAAGAATTTTTGCTAGTTGAGATAAGGATAGCTATGCAGAGAGATTCCTAGCATTGCTTCCATGTACAAATGTGTTACAACACAAGTTGATTCATCTCTAACTGACCTTTTCACTAGTTCCTGATCCTCTTCCCATATTGACCTCTGTCTCTTTAAGGTTTCTGTATTAGTTCCTCTGCAGTGCGGACATCAAATACTATCATGTTTTGGGTTTCTTACCTATCCCCATACCTCCCATGTGTGCTGTCCCCTCATCATGTGACCCAAGTTTGACAACATTGCTATATTTGCCCTAGCTCTAAAGTCTGCATATGAGGGAGAACATACAATTTTTGGTCTTCTGAGCCTGGCTAACCTTGCTCAGAATGATGTTCCCAGTTCCATCCATTTACTTGCAAATGATAAGATTTCATTCTTCTTCATGGCTGAGTAAAATTCCATCATGTATAAATACTACATTTTCTTAATCCATTCATCAGTAGTGGGGCATCTTGGCTGTTTCCATAACTTGGCTATTGTGAATAGAGCTGCAATAAACATAGGTGTGCAGAGGCATAACCTGTGTCACATTCCTTTGGGTATATCCCCAGGAGTGGGATTGCTGGATTATATGGCAGATTTATGTTTAGATTTTTAAGAAGCCTTCAAATTTTTTTTCCAGAGAGGTTACACTAGTTTGCATTCCCACCAGTAGTGCACGAGGGTTCCTTTTTCCCCACATCCTCACCAACACCTGTTGTTAGTGGTGTTTTTAATGATGGCTATTCTAACGGATGAGGTGGAATCATAGTGTGGTTTTGATTTGCATTTCCTTTATGGCTGCAGAAGGTGAGCATTTTTTCATGTGTTTTTTTGCCATTTGAATTTCTTCTTTTGAGAAAATTCTGTTTAGTTCAGTTGCCCATTTCTTTATTTGTTCATTGATTTTGGGAGAGTTTAGTTTTTTAACTTCCCTGTATATCCTGGTTATCAGTCCTTTGTCTGATGTATAGCTGGAAAATATTTTCTCCCACTCTGTGGGTGGTCCATTCAGTTTAGAGACCATTTCTTTTGTTGTGCAGAGCTTTTTAATTTTATGAAGTCCCATTTGTCCATCCTTTCTCTTAGTTGCTGAACTGCTGGCATTCTATTGAGGAAATCCTTATACCTATTACTTCTAGAGTATTCCCCACTCTTTCCTGTACTAACGTCAGAGTTTTGGGTGTAATGTTAAGGTCCTTGATCCATTTTGAATTAATACTAATACAGGGTGATAAACATGGATCTAGTTTCAGTTTTTTGCAGATGGATAACTTTTCCCAGCAACATTTGTTGAAGAGGCTGTCTTTTCTCCATCATATTTTTTTAATGCCTTTGACAAAAATAAGGTGGGCATAGTTGTGTCGATTCATATCCGGGTCCTCTATTCTGTTCCACTGGTCTTCATGTCTGTTTTTGTGTCAGTACCATGCTGTTTTTATTGCTATTGCTTTGTAATATAGACTGAACTCGGGTATTGTGATACCTCCAGCATTGTTCTTTTTGCTGAGTGTTGTCTTGGCTATTCGCGGTCTCTTGTGTTTCCAAATGAACTTTAGGGTAGATTTTTCAGTCTCTGTGATGAAGGTCATTGGGATTTTGATGAGAATTGCATTAAACATGTAGATTGCTTTTGGTAGTATAGCCATTTTTACTATGTTGATTCTACCAATCCATGAGCATGGGAGATCTCTCTACTTTCTGTAGTCTTCCTCAATCTCTTTCTTCAGGGGTTTGTAGTTCTCCTTGTAGAGGTCATTCACATTTTGTTAAGTTTACTCCTAGGTATTTGATTTTTTGAGGTTATTGTAAATGGAATTGTTTCCATATGTTCTTTCTCAGTTTGTTTGTTATTGGTATATAGAAAAGCTAATGATTTTTGTAAAAAATATCTTCATTCTAATTGGTTAACACAATGTGTTATTAGCAAAGATAGCAACATACGTTATCACTGGCACTTTAATAACATGTTTCAGTGTCAAAGTGAGTTCAAAGCTTCAAATGAAGAGTTTCAAAATAATTTCTTGCTCATTTGAGGATTACCTATTAAAAACCCATTTACCTCTGTCTCAAAATGCAGAATTCATCCTTAATTTACAAGCCTTTTTTAAATGAAATGTGAAATTTTTCATCTATTTTGCAACTAAGGTCACTCATTTAGTCACTGAATGAAAACTGTTTTCTCTTGGAGTTGTTATAGGGGGTAGGTGTAGATAAAAGCATGTGATTTGTTTTCTTAGAAGGAAAATACCTGCAGAAATTCTGCTGTTCATATTAAGCTACTTCACATATTTGCATTTTTAAATTTAAAGAAGGAATCATATCATGTTAATAAATGATCAAGTAAATCTTTTGAGCCTGAGGCTTTTGACCATCCCCCTCCCCTCTGCCCCCAAACCTTGGTTCCAGCTAGAGATCTCACATAGGAGCTAACGGACAAACAGATCATCTCAGTGTGCTGGCCCAAATTCTAGCTCACTCGTACCCATTGGGGGATGGCTGGCAGTTTGTTCTTTTGTGGGGCTAGCGTAGTCAAAACAACAGTCTATAACTCATTATTGGCATTCCGTAAGAAATAAATTCAAAATCAACTTCCAAAGGCCTTAAAGTAATGTTGATATTATTTTAATTATAGACAGAGCCAAAGTTTCTACAAATATTCACTCTTCTTATTGAAAAAAAAAATTTTAATTTTACATTTCAAAGATTTTGAAAAAGTTTGGAATGATTTTTAAAGGCTTGAAATGTTTTAATTATTCAAAAATAATGTATGTAATTTATCATTGTGAAATTATATTACATACTATTGTGAGTTTTTCTTCTTCCCTAAATTTTTTAATTGTAGTAAGGGTGCTAGTTCTTTCATTTTGTAGAGCTGATAGAAGCTACAAAAAAATCTTTTATTTCATATCCAAATCCATAGGTTTATAATTAAGGAAGATTCTTCAAGATGAAAAAGCAAAGCAACCAGCAATCACCATTCATGATACCTTTTCCCAGTTGGTATTTCTCTATGATTTGTTCATCACTAAAATCCCAGCACCTAGAGCACAGGCCATATTTCTTATGTCTATTCCACTATTGAACTGTGACTCAGCCTCTCAAAACCAGACTGTCTTCTTCATCTTTGTATTTCCAGAGTCCTGGACTAGAACTGGAGCTATTTTGATGTAGGAATAACATCACATAAATTAAGCAAGCTTCTCAGATATGTCACTATCTCAAACCCTACCTAGTTAGCCCTTAGCTTATATTTAGCTCACTCCTTCAGGCTTCTGGAACAACTTCTGAAGATACAGAAAGGAACAATAACTTACTAATTAAGAGAGGATTTGAAAGAATACTTACAAGACAAAATTAGAGACCAAAGAGTCTAGAGAGTTACATGGTAGCCAGAGGAAATTGTGTGTGATATTATTATTTATACATATAATGCATATGTATAGCATTTCTATATGTGATCAGAGCTTAAAAGAAAGAATCCCAACTTGAAGAAAGGGTAAGTGAGAATTTAGTAAGAATTCCTTGAAAATTGGATCAGTGAAAACATGACTGTAGTTTTAAGCTAAATTCTTAGAGTATAAATATAGAATAAAGTACAAATCAACTGAAATAAATGTGACTAATGTAGCTAAAAGTAATCTTTATCTTTATTTTTTTATGTTCCCTATTCCCTACTTATGTCTCAAGCAATTATGATCAACCTAAGTTCCTTTGTGCATCATATTCTTGCCTTGATGATAAATTCTGCTGGAGACACTCCAAAACAATATAGCCACAGTTAAATGAAGCAGGCACACAGTTCATTGCTACCCACACTCATCACCTGTTCTGGACTGGGTTCAGGTAGCACTGTCTTAGCTGTTCCCCATATGATCATCAACCTGTATCTTCATCATATCACTCAATGATTGTGGACTGCACAATTTTTCTTAAGACTCCCCATTGAAGAGCCTGTCTTTTTCCCACAACCCTTTGCAGAGATTACTTCAGGTAAAAACAAAATGAAATAGTTTGTCTTTTTTACTTCAAGATTTTCAAATATGGTCCAGTGAACTGGAAAGGAATAAATTTGAAAGACTTGGTATTTTCTCAGCTTTTGTTGTGTCTTTTTAATCTTCCTGTCAACATCTTTATATACTATCCCCACCCCACCCCCCAAAAAAAGAATGAGAGTCTGAGCCACCATGCTATGAAGAAATTGCATGGAAAACTTAAATAGTAACACTAGACATATTTATAGATGTTTTTTGAATGCAACATTTGTTTTCAAATTCTAAATATTGTCTAATCAACACTTTGGGGGTGAGAGGTGTGACTTGCCTAGCATGCAAAAGGCCCTGGATTCAGTCCCCAGCTCTGCTAAATAAATAAACAAACACTTTAAGTCAGGAATCAGATTTGAAGTTAGCTAAACATTCAAAATTATAATCAAGAAATCATTTGTGATAAAAATACAGCAGAGATTTAAAACACTCCAAATGGTAAATGATATGCCTCTCAAGACTATTCATATTCTACTGGACTGTGAAAGTTACACAGGAATGGAAAGGGCCAATTTCAACTTCCAAGTGCACCCTCAAATTTGTGTGTGTGTGTGTGTGTGTGTGCGCGCGTGTGTGTTAAGACTTTTTTTACTCTAGTATTACTAATTTCTCCACTAAATATAAAATGACAGAACTCTGCCTTTGCCAGAAAGACTTACAGATTTTGAGTTAAATCTTACAATATTTTTATCTCTAGTTTCCTTTTTTCAGCTAAGTCAGCATTAGCATTCCTGTTTTCAAAGCACAGTTTATTATCTAATTAGTAACTTTAATTATTAATGAATTCTAAAGTAATGCACTTAGTTAAATTTTGCTTTAAATTTTTAAAAGAAACCAAGTTACCCAGGTTAATTTCAAAGTAGAGTTGCCTTTCTATATACTTGAGTAACTAACATTTTCAGAGAAAAGCTTATCAAAAATGACAGAACCCTCATTATGCTCCCAAACCCTTGTGGTTCACTGGCACGTAGCACTCCTATGGACTTCAGAGGACCCTGTTCTCAGATCCTCCCTAGGGATGCCCAGCAAGATGAGATACCAGTTGCATTTCATCTACCTGCCTCTGCTTTACAGTTCAACCATGTTCTGAAAAAGCACATATTCTTTTGGAAATAACTCATTCATGAAATTTTAGTACATATGATGTAACTTGCTTTAGTTTAATCAAAATCCTCTAGGCAATTTTCTTTTAAGAAAATATCTAAAAACTGATTCCAAAACAAAATATAAACTAGTAAGGGCTTAGGAGAAAAATTAAAATCTTTTCCTCATTTGAAATAACAAAGATGTTTGATGCTGAAGGGCTTTTTTACAAGTCAATAAATTGCACCTTGACAGAGTCCACTCAGTGACAGTTGTAATACTATATAAACATGACTTGCATGCCATCTGTTTCCTTTTGATGCAGAGTATCAGATGTCCTTGCATGATTCAGTTTCCACAATAATCATGAGACTAACAAACTTAATTAGAACATTAAGCAATGCACTGCTAACTTCATGTTTGATTAGATTGCTGATAGCAGCCATTTTAGAGGAAAGTTTCAAAGTAAATCTTCTTTTACACTAATGATAGGAAGATTCTAAAGCAGATTACTTCTTAGCCTCCTTTTCCTCTAAAAGCATGCAATGAGCCTAAAGCCCTAAGGTGTCTTTCTTATTCTTAACTATCTTCTTTTCTTCCTTGTGGTTTATATAAAAATAGTTGAATAGTATTATCTGTAAACTGCACATAGAATTAAAGAGAAATGTTTATTAAAGCAGTGGCTTTTCAAAGTTTGCTTAGTGAATTTACTAAGGGAGTTTCATCCTATCATGCTTTCTCTATGGCTAGACTCTCTTCATCATGCCCCTGCTAGGAAAGTTTTTTAAACTCTCCAGAGTTCTAAAAGTTCTATAAACTGAGGGTGGGAAATCAAATTATTAATTTTTAGACTGAGAAAACAGTTGTGGTAGATTATTCTCGGGGTTTTTTTTTTTTTTTTTTGCTTGTTTTCTAATTTTCATCTGGGAAAGCATTAGTTACTTGTCAAGGTTCAAAGAATGAAGTGAAATACATGGTAGAAGTCTAATATTAAAATCGTAAGTCTGCTTTGTCCTTAGAGATGCTATTGTAGATTCAATTTCTGAATCAGTACAATGCAAGAGGGAAATTAAAATCCTCAGCAATGCCTTGTTTTCTGAATCTTGTTTACAGAATTCTCCCAATAACATGAGCCTGAGTAATCAACCTGGCACGCCAAGGGATGATGGTGAAATGGGGGGAAATTTCTTAAATCCTTTTCAGAGTGAGAGTGTAAGTATTCTTTTGATTATGTATTATTATATCCAGATTTTATTTCTGAAGCTTTTCTATTAGAATAAATGCATAAAGCCATTATTACTGCTATTTATCTAGGGTTCAATAGGTTGATCTTTTAAAAAGTTAGAAGAAGTGAAATTTCTTTGAAAGAAATAAGACAAATCTTTTCTTTTTCCTTCCTATACACATATATACAATAACCATAATACTAGTTTTCTCATAAAGAACATCCACTGTAAAGGATCAAACTAGAACCAGGTTGCCTATTTGAAGCTTTTTTTTTTTTTTTGTATATATAAGTTCACATGTTCCTAAAATATCTCTGGTCACTTCAAAACCAAGTCTTTTCTCAATGCTGTCCCTATTAAGACTGTGAAAACAATCTGTAAATATGTCATTACATCATATACTAGGCCTCCCTCCACCAAAGGCTATACTGGTGGTCCATTAAGCTGAGCTGGATACCCATATCATTTTTTGATTTGTGATTATAGTGTTAAGAAGACTTAGTATCATTCCATATCTCCATATAAGTGAACAGGACCAAAAAGTAAAGCCATAAAAATCACTTGTTCATTTAACAAACAATTCCTAAGCACTTATCATGTGCAAGGCAATATGGTAGGCACTGAAAAGACCAAAGAGACAAGATGGTACCTTTTCTCAGGAGTTATTACATGATGCATTGGTTTTTTAAATATTATTTCCATTAAAAACCCTCAGGGAAATTTAAAAAAAAAGTTTCCCAGAACCTTCATGAGACCTAATGAATCTGAATTTCCAGGAGTGTGCCTGGGCACAGTTGGATGTGGAAAAGCTCTTTTTGTGATGCTTATGCACATTCTAAGAGCCACTAAATTGGAAGATAGCATAAAAGATTTCAAAACCCAAATGAATTTCATCTTCACAGGATCCATGTTCCCACACATGTGTTGCCATCATTAAAGTTTATTATGGAGGATCTACCAAACTACAGACAGAATCAGAGGAAATAGCTACCTCCTTTTTGCCTAACTCTGCCATTACCAGACATAATACTTATATCTTAATTCAAGTTCTGGCTAATTGCATGGCCACTTTTGCACAGAGTAGCTGCTTCCCAAAATGGAACCAAAGAAGAGGGGTATCAGTTCAATTTCTGAGGTCAATATCTGGCATCAGAAAGCTCTTCTGGGCAAGCAGAGAATCAGTATAACAAGACTTGAAGAACTTTATACAGAATAATTACAAGCCCTACCCTTTAATCCCAAACAGACTATATTCGTGCAAAGCAGCATAACCTTTTGTGAGGATGTACTTTTAGAACAGAGAGCAGCTGGAGCAAAGCTTCTCCTACATCTGACTCTCCTGGTCCAGTCTAACTGTTGCTGAACCCAAGAAGAAAGTTTAATGCCAAACTGCTGGTAGGGTTAGAAAACAAAACTCCCTGCTTTCTCCTGTCTCCCTCTTTTCCATTCCCAGCAGAAAAGTCACAAAAGGAAAATAACTAGATCACCATCAACTGAGACACTACAGTACCACCCTAGAGAGTGGTTCAACTTTGGAAGCTGGTCCACAATGGCTTCCCCAGCCTTTTGTCTTGTCTATTGAGGAGAGTTGACTTGTTCTGAATGATGTCAGTGTTACCCCGTGATTTTTTTTTTAATCATATTACCACACTTTTTGTTTAGACCCTTTTATAAGATCAAGCAGTGAGAGGAGAGTGGAAGAAAGACAAAAAGAGATTCAGTCCTTCAACAAATGCAAAGTTTTAAGGAAACACATAAGCTAGATATCTTCAATAAGTCATCTTTACTATAACCAAGAAACTACAGAACTATTTAATGAATTTGAAAAGAAAACATTTTCCAATAAATGAATAAGCCAGTTCTAGTATTTTTAATGCACATAACTCTGAAAAGCCCACAATTTTAAGCAGTCTGCCTTTTGTCACCCTTTACCAAGAAGTTAAACTACAAGAGGCCTGGGAAAGGAGCATGAGTGCTTGCTGTTATATACCAGAGCCTATCTTAGTCACTTCATACATGCTACTTCATTTAATTATATAGGAACAAAACCGCCCAACCCAAAGTCATCAACCTTGCAATGCCAGCATGCTTGACAGCAAAATGTGAATCAAAAAAATGTTTCACAAACTTGCGTATTTTTAGATAACAAACACGGTCCCTTATATTAAGAAACAAAGATGCCCCCTAGTGTTTAAACATGGTAAAATGTTTGCTTTTAAAGGTATATAGAATATAAAAACACTTAGTTCATAAAGTACCTTTTTATTCTTTTCAATTAAAGAAATCAGTTGATCCAATTTCCTGAATTAACTTAGAAAAACAAATATGATGCTGATGTATAATCATTTGAGTAAACAAACATAATATTAGATTCGTGGTATTAAGTAGGAATCGCAGTGAGGCGGTAGTTCATCTCCTTTCTTCGATACTCCCCTTTGCCTATTTCTGCTATTGTAAAGAAATAACATCAATCCCCAGATTTTTATGTTATCCCATAACTCTAATTTGTTTCACTTTAGTTTATCTCAGAGTAACATAACTATTCCTTATTTCTCATTAAGAAAATAAAATATTGTATAGAAGCTCAGGCATAGAAACACATGCATTTTTTATAGTGTAAAAAAAGGAATATATATATATTCAAATTTTTAATGAATGTCCCTGATGGATTGTGTGGTATGTGAACTCCTAAGAAGGGAAAAAATCATAAGTTTATACCAAGACATGGGATCTCAAAATACATTTTACATAAAAAGGTATAATTAGTTGGTACATGTTTAAAATGATATCTTTATGTTTTACTTCATTTTTTGCTAAACCAAACAGTAATGCTGCTGATGGCTTTGTAAAATCCATTTTATCCTCTAAGGAGAACCAGATTCACAGGATGGTTTTGAAACAGGGAAGCCTGATATGGCACATTTGAGTATAAACATTACAATATGTCATCACATATCGGTGCAGCCATACAATGGAAATATCGAAGTGCGGTCTCAGTACAGTACACCATGAATATTTTATGTCTCTAAATATGATACTCCATTTAACACCTACTCTTCCTTTTCTTCTGGAAAAATGTAAGCCACTTCTCTACCACTCTGAGGAGCAACAATAAGTAGAAAAAGTCCTTTTTGCTTACATATTCTGTGAACTTTCCTAGCAATTTTGTGATTCCCATTAATTTAATTTAGTTGAAGCAGTTTTGATAAAGTCAGCTGAAGATGAGCAATCTACAGCCTTAGGAGTACAAATAACACATTGCTGTATAGGTACTCAGGCATAAATGTATCCCACTTTACTGTACTAGAGACAATTAGCATTTCATCCTACAGTTATTTATACTACTCAAAAACTAGACTTTATTAGATGCTTGCTTTTTTTTTTCTAAGTGTAATTTCTGGAGCTAATGCTTCCATCCTTTCTGACTGATTGTGCTCCTTAGTTTCTCTGTTGTTGTGCCTTATATTTTCACTCAGTTTCCTCCGTAGGCAAACCCACCTCTTTTAACTTCCCAGTGAATTAGTGACAAATTATTTTTCTGTAAGATTTTCTTAAGACATTTGAAATATCACGGCCTCAATATTTTAACAATTGCTAGTGTTAAGGGATGATAGCAACCAATAAAAATACTTGGGAACAGAGTATATACATATTTATATGCTTACACCTATACAACTTTTAACAATGTATATTAGAATGAAGACTATTATTTATATTTTGTGTTTATCTTTGTGGTGTTGCTGTGGTTAGAACTCAGGACTTTGTGCCTGATAAGCAGGTGCTGTACCACTTGAGCCATGCCTCTAGCCCTTTTGATCTGATTATTTTGGATATAGGGTCTCAGTCTTTTGCCCAGACTGGCCTGGATTGCTATCATCCTATTTTATGCTTCCTGCCATAGCTGGGATGACAGGCATGCACCTGCACCACCATGACCAGTTTCTTCTCCCTTGCCTCTTCCCCCGATTGAGATGATCGTACTAGCTACATTTCATGTGCTGAGTGATCATATGTCACTAATGGCTTCTGTGTTCAACATCACAGATTACAGGACAAGTCTGTCACTGAAAGAAGCTCTATTGTACAGTGCTGCTCTAGGATTTTCCACAGTCTATCCCCCAAGAGCATGAGAGTAGATTGGTGTAATTAGCAAAAATAAGTGCTCCTCATTCCTTTCTAAATCATTTTTTAGAGTACTTTTTCCAAATTTCCAAAAACCTCATCTTGTATTGCTTGTCAGCTTCAGACTGACAAGTAATCATGTAACACCCATGTCCCTTCTGTCACCCAAAAACTGTGGATTAAAATTGGAGCCAAAGATTAAAGGGGCAGAAAGTTTATATGCTAAAGTGAAAAGTAGAATCTTACATATCTTAAATGCTTTAATGAGAACTTCTCAGAGCCAGCTGGAAGTTCATTCTACTTTGGTTCCCTACCCTACTCACTTAGCATTTACTAAGCACTTTCTATGTATTCAGTAAGATATATAGGTTCTAGGATTTTTGTATTTAATCCTCCCTAAGCCCCTAGATACTACTATTAAATCCATTTTATAGGTGAGGAAACTGAGGTGGAGAGACATTAGGTAACTCCCCAGGTTACACAGCTATATATAGCAAAACCTAGTCCTCATACTCGTTTCATTATGATCCAACCTTGGACTGAAGTTGCCTAAATTGTTACAAGTGCTTGCAAAACGTAAATCTGGCTGAAAGGGGAAGGCTGAGGGATTATCAGCCTCCGAGGCCCAGGGAGAGAATCAAACTGCCTTCCAAAGGAAATGTTAAAAATTTTAGAACTAAGTGGGGTCTGTATAAACGTGGTCTTTTTATAGCTTCTTATTTTTATGTTATATGAGGTTAAAAGCTTGAACACAAATTATCACAAGTTAAAATTCACCATTTCTATTGTTGTACCAGGAAGAACCTTAGTGGTCTATAAAAAATGCTGTTAAAATATGGATTCTTCTTTCCTTCTAGTACTCCCCTAGCATGACAATGAGTGTGTGATCCATTACCAAGTCTCCTCATGAAAACCACAGTGAGTCAGCCCTTCACAGAACTACTATGGAAGAAAATTAATCATCACAGTGTACAGTTAAACAAAGGAATCGCAGTCACACCAAACCAACCTTTTTATTTCCTGCTCTCTCCCCTATTTTGTGAAGAAAGCGGGTCCAAATGTGATTCAAACAACTGTACGGAGTGGCACATTTGATTGCCCTAAACCGAACTGCAAATAATGATCTGTGTATGTATATGTGTGGGAAATAGACTGTATCGTATATGTGGATATTATACAGACATATACGCATACATGCATTGACCCACAGGACATTGTAAAATACTATCACATGACATCTTAAGTAGAAGTAAGTAGGACTTTTATTCCATCCTTTTTTTTCACGTTTACATTTTAATTATTAAAAGTTGCTCCTGTCCCCTCCCTGAACTATTTTGTGCTGTGTATATCACTGCTTTATATAAGTTATTTTTTAAGGTGAATTCAGATGTTATGGTTTTGTAAATGTCTGCAATCATGGATAGGAATAAAATTGCTTACTTGAGAGCTTTCATTAAATTGTGTCTGATGCAAGTTATCCTGTGAATCCTAAAGTGTACTGTCTTAAGAAATGAAAGAAAGTGTATCTTCATCCTTATATCAAATCAAACAGTTTCTCAGTTACCTTTGGTGAAAAGTGTTTTTGTACTTTGTATTTGAGAAAAACACTTCAAATCAACAAAAGTTAAACTGGGGCCTCACACAGTATATTTCTGCAATAACTGTTTTAAATGGAGTTCTTGATTTGTTCGTCTTAGATGATGCAGAAATTAGTTAACTCAAATTACCTAGACCATAGCAATAAAGTGCCAGGAGTTGTCATATTTTTAGCAACATGTTTTCTCTTTAACATGATAAAGCCCAGAAGTGATAACAAGACCATTTGCTTAAATATGTCACTTTTCTTTAGGCATAGTAGAGGTAAACTTTTAATAACATACCAATGTGAAATGGTATCTGATTTTTATTGAGACGCCCTGTGAACATATCTACATAGACATTGCAAACAGACACAGTGAAATGACTAAGATTTTCAGCACAAGGGAGAAAAGAATGATTAGGACACCTGAAGTCTTTTAAGGGCTTCTGGAGTGCTGCTCCTTTTGCTAACCCAGTAGCTTGCTTGGTAGAGCAGAATTCATTGGTACCAGTCCTTTCTGGCGTCCCTCCTCATGGGCAGCAGGGAACCTGCTCTGTTCCTGCGACAGAGGGCTTGGATTCTGAAGCAAATCATCTGTAGTAACTTCCCTTCATGTGGCCATTGGCTTGAGCAGGCTAAATCTTCACTGCGTACTTGACAGTTCAAAAGGAAAGAAAGAAATACTTAAAAAAAATTATTTCCCTTCTAAAAGCACCTTGCTCTGTGACACTTCCAAGATATTTAATTATACTTATAAACACTAAAATCATAATAGAAAAGTATGAAGACTAATTTTGGACTCTGAAAGACAACTTGGTGATCATTCATTTTAGGATTGTGATACAAATAACCTCTGATAAACACCAATCTTACATCTAAACTCCAGAGACTTTGAAAAGCATTGTTTAATCCCATGTGAGAGGAACCTTCTCTTTCCTTTCAGTTTATGTTGAAGATTTGGCAGGATATTTGCTAGTTCTTCGTTCCAGATTATTTATTTTTCTCAAATCTGTAATGATTCATTCCTTCTGAAGATAATGATATTTGCCTGTGCACAACAGGGATGCTGGGCAGAATTGTTGAGGGGGGAAAGCTGAATTAAATTTATCTATCAGACTTAAACTATAATAAAATGAGTCACAATTAATTGCACACAGTGTTAGGAGCCCAGGACTGTGTACTGGAGAGCAACCTCATGCTCTCAAACTACAAAGACTTGTCATAAACAATTCAAACTAAAAGGTCTTTACCTCAAGCCAAGGTAACCTGAAGGTGGCACTTTGTACAGATGCCTGAACTGCAAAGAATAATTGTAACTTTCCCTTTTGATGACAGTTGTACAAAAATTGATAGTCCTCTGAGTAATCTTAATCTTATATTGCTAGAATTTTTAAACATTTTGTTGACTCTTTTCTCCACTGTTACTGATCTTGTATTTCTTTTATTTGCCTTCTGAGAAGGTATGGTTTCTTATCACAAAGAATCATGAACCTGATTTTACTTGCCCTTATTTTGGGTTAATCCTAGGATACAAATGACATCTACACTGTTTGGTCAGAAAGGTAAAATTTATTTGTTTGTTTGTTTTCAGTATAGTTATCATCATAGTGTTTATTTCTTTTTCTTTTTTGGAACCCAGATTAAAAATAGCTATTTCAGGTAATCCTGAAATAGTTGAAAAATTATTTTTGAGAAGAAAATTGTATTCAAGAAAACCAGAATATAAAATTCTGAATTTTATGTTTCAATAATTTTCTCAAATATTGAGTATAGGATAGTATCTATATATTAACTTTTGTTTAGATTTTGAATCATTTAGGCCTTGTATGTTCTTGTAATAGAACATTTAACCTTTATTCTCTTATGTTTTCTGTCTCTTATCAACAAATTTGTGTTGGTCATATTGATATGCGCTACCTGTTCCTAGGATTATTTTTATTGTGAGGCTATTTCACCTCACAGTAATAATATTAGCAGTTCTTCCCTACATTGAACATGAAATACAAATGTAAAATATGTGAGAACAAGAAGAGAGAATAGTAATTCTCATTACTCTGTTTTATATTCTGAATAATTCAATGCAGTTAAAAATACATATTCTTTCTAAGTTATGTATGATTCTTAATCAGCTGTCTTTCTTACAGCAAAGTTGCCCATGGGAACAAAGTCTATGGGATACCACTGATCTGGTAATGTTACATATTTGATAGGTAAATCAGCTCTCCTTTAAAAATATCCAGTTTGTACTCAGTTACTGATGAATAGGAATTTTTATAACTAAGAATATGAGGTTAAGATTTCTCTGATGCCAAAAAACTGACAAATCAGTTCTATTCCCCCAGCCATGGAAAGTGCCCAGACACCCCCTTCTCTTCAGGAATAAAATAGAGAAAACTTCTTCCATTCTACTTTTATGATTCATTAAGATACCTGAACTCCATTCCATTTCATGGGGTCATTCAGTTAACACTCTTTCTTTTTAAATAACAGAAAATAAAAATAAGTTCACTTTGGGACATCATAAACTCCATAATCTGTCTACACATTTTCTTCATCATATTGTTGTGGGAATATGCAGCCAAGCATTCAGTACTTTCTCCCTCAGTGGAGGGAGTTTTCCTCAATGCATAATACTCCAAAGCCTTGATTAGCTGCTTCTTGGCTTTTCCCATGCCTCCCTACCAATCCCTGAATCCTCCAGTAAACAAGAAATAGACTGAACAGTTTTATCTTCAAAGCCCTTATGATTTTCATCTCTGCCCAGTATATAGCACTAATATGGTTCTTCCCAGGGGAAACTGTTCCAATTTTCATTTCTTGATTATTACTGTTAATTACAAGCAGTTGCCACAAATCATAGCTACTTGACTTTAGAATGAATTATAGTATTTTGATGCTGGCTTTCCTTTCTTTATATTTTATGTACTGTTATTTTTTTCTTTCCTTAGAAACATCAGTTGGTGCAAGTAGCCATGAATAATAATATAGAAAGGAAAGGGCCAACATGGGGAAAAAAGTTGTCATATATTTTCCAAAAATATCTTTAATCCTACTTGTATTTTTCCCTCCTGTTGGAGTAAGTTTCTTGTTTGCCATGAAGAGGCAGGAGTATGTGTTTGCTTAAAGCAGTGGTACCCAATCTTAAGCATTTGTAAGAGTCTCCCTCAGTCTGAGAAATACTGGAAAAGCATGGATGGAAAACCACTATTAATAATGTCTCAATTTTGCATAAATGTGTGTGTACCTGTGTGCATGTGTTGGAGATGGTAGCATGAAGTTTGCTCACAGATAACGCCTAGTGTGATTCACACTATTTTATAGCACTACTGATAATTATTAAACATAATTCTTTTTGATTACTTTTCATTTTAGTGGTAAAATAACTGACAAAAGTGATTTGGGCCGGGTGCCAGTGGCTCACACCTGTAATCCTGGCTACTCAGGAGACAGAGATCAGGAGGACCTCAGTTTGAAGCCAGCCCAGGCAAATAGTTTGCAAGACCCTATCTTGAAAAACCCTATCACAAAAAATTGGGCTGGTGGAGTGGCTTGAGGTGTAGGCCCTGAGTTCAAGCCCAAATACCGCAAAAAAAAAAAAAAAGTGATTTGGGGTGGAAAGAAAATAATACAATACCTGAGCAGATGAAGTTTCCAGGGCCCCGATCTGCCATACCCATGTTAACTTGTCTATGTTCAGCTTTCTCATGAACTCACTGTATCTAAAGATAAAAGGCATAAATGATAATTTAATCCTTGGTCACGTCACTGATCTTGCCAGGAATCATGCAGTAATTATAGTTTTCTGATGTATACATTTGGTTATAAGAAATTGAATTAGCATTAGTAATTTATTTCACCAAAAGCACCACCTTTACCCATGAACTGTAATTCAGACTGAAAGAGATGACCAACAGATGAAAGACACACCTGAGACTGCTTTAATTACTTTTCTAAACTATATTCTAAAGAGAAATCCTCAGCTGAATAAATCTCCCAAGGAGAATTTCCTGTTAAGTTTCCCCTGTTAACTTAGCATAATTGGTTTTCCTAAATAGAATAATTTCTGTAAGAAGTTTAAATGTATTTTTGCTGTTGACATCTTTAAAAATAAAATACAGTACCAGTACTATATTTAGATATTATAAATTTTAAAGTGGAATTAATAAGTGTTTTCATGTACACAATTGCAGTTTGTCTCTTCCCTCTTTGCAAACTTCCTGGATATTATAAGGATAAATGCTGGGCTCATTTTGATTATCCCAATCTCTGAAATGATCCACTTCTGAAACATTTAGCATTTCATTTTTTAAATGAGGTATGCTATTAACATAACAAAAGCATGTATTAATATTTCCAGAAAAATGGTATAAAACATTTATTCACTGTTACATTAAAACTTTATGCCATTTTCTGTTTGCATAAAGTGGTCTCCATACACTGCCTCTCAGAACACATTATATTGCCAACTAAATTTCCATGATGCCTTGGTAAAATTGCTCAGCTAAACATAAGTAACCATCTATTTACTGGAAAACAACAATTCAAATAATCTATCCAGTTTACATAATTTGACAAGTCTACTCTAAATTTTGCGACACATTAGAGATTTTTCTTAAACATAAACTGTGGATTGAAATGTGTGTGTGGCCTTCAGGTAATCTTTCAAAACGCTTTACTTTCCTTGCATTAAAGACAATTAAAAACATGTAAGCTATATGTTAAGATGAATAATTTAAAGAACATGCTATTGTTACAAACATGATAAATGGAGAAGTCTTCATACGTTAGAATCCTTTACTCATGATACCCATCAACTTATTGAATTGTTTAATTTATCTAATTGTGATTTTAAGAATTTAAGATGTTTTCTTATTACATG